ACCAGTACCCACTTAACTGGTAAAGCAGAACACGAAGAGAATCAACTGTAAAACCGGGTTCATTTATTATGACAAAAGTGATTGTATTTATACAGAAAATAAGGTAGACTGGAAATCAACCAATACGGCTGAGAGTTTGAATTGTGCAAGCGTCCAATCAGAAGCAAGAACAATTGCATGTCAACGGCTTGTTAATAACGCGATAATAACTTGACTGAGAGATGATAATGACCTGATAATTGCATGTGTTTTGCCTCTTCCTAACACCTATTCACCCAGACTTGAGACCGGCTAGAAAACTAGCAAGCTAGTTAACTAGACAAGGTTAAAATGACAGCGCTTTATTTTATGGCTTCTAGTTAAAGTGATAAAATTCTACAAATTAGCTGTGCTAATTAAAAATCCTTAAATAAAATGTCATATGTTATCCGAATTGACTGACTGTGAGAAATTAAAGGAAGCGTATTTCAATGAAAAATTATCCAGCTACAAAAATAATTGATTGTTTTCATAGATACATAAGTATTCAATATGCACATATACATGAACATCGCTATGTAAAATTTATATGGATATACATATTTGAAGGTTAATCATGACAGAGTTCTACTCCACTAATTATCAATGACATCATCAAATCTATAGACTGATGTAGAGTCCCAGACCAGGACGAAACAGCAGTTCAGTACTCCCAGTTGATTTTCCAATGGTTCTCTAACTAATGTCAGCTCATGATGAAATGCTTCAATCAATCAAACAAAATCCCTCAAAACCAATACTTGAAAATTATAAAATAAGACATATATAAACAAACAATATTGTTATAAAATATTTAAAATTATCCTGCTGCGTTTATGAAAAAAATCAAAACTAGATCTGTTTTCTGAACGTTTTGCTGTGTAAGCCACAGCGTCTTCAACAGAATTATTCAGATTTTATTAATCATCAAAATAATATGGTCAAAAATTTTTGATTGCACACTAGTCAGTAACTAGTAATGCGTCTAGTCCTATCTTCGGTGCAGACTGAATTCTATCAGTCATGTTTGCAATGTGGCCACCATGCTAGGTGGCTCGCCATTACGGTGCACTGTGAATTGTTGGTATTAGATGGTTGGAGGCGATCGGCCACAGGAAGCCTTACCTGACCTAGGTTTCGTGCTAGTTGCCAATCATCAGCAAGGCGTATCTGCAACCTTGAAGGAACTGATGTCCCTTCTGAGGTTCGAACCCGCGTCACCCAGTTCTGCAGTCAGAGACGTTACCACTGAGCTATTCAGGCTCGCGACTGACCTCCTGTAGGACTGTATTGGATATTTTTGATTGCAAACTAGTCAGTAACTAGTGTAATGCGTCTAGTCCTATCTTTGGTGCAGACTGAATTCTATCAGTCATGTTTGCAATGAGCCTGAATAGCTCAGCGGTAACGTCTCTGACTGCAGCACTGGGTGAAGCGGGTTCGAATCTCAGAAGGGACATCAGTTCCTTCAAGGTTGCAGATACGCCTTGCTGATGAGTGCCAACTAGCACGAAACCTAGGTCAGGTAAGGCTTCCTGTGGCCGATCGCCTCCAACCATCTAATACCAACAATGGTCAAAAATTACATAAATTGAAGTCAATTGATTTGAAAGTCACCTGTCAATAATCATTTGTACCGTTCCCTATATCTTATTTAAGGGATTTATCACTTCTATGTACTAGCAATGTTTGGTTCACATTTGTAGGCGATTGTTCTCGTCAGGTTGATGGTGTTGCTATGGGAATTCCATCAGGCCCCCTTTTATATATATATATATATTGTCATACATTGAGAGTTTATCAGAGGATTTAGTCAAAATGTGCCGCTTTACAGAGGATATTTAGATGACATTGTAATCATAAGTGAAAAGCCTTGTTCTGTCACTTCAAATCGAATGAATAAAGTTCTGAATAGCAAATCACTTAAGTTTGTAGAAGAGGAAGATAATTGTTTATCCTTTGTAGACATATGGCTTAGTCGACGGCTTGATAGGTCAATAAAATCACCTATGAATAGAAAACCTACCTGGACAGGACAGGACAGGACAGTGTCTTAATTACCACAGTTTCTGCCCTATTCGGTACAAAACAGCATTAGTAAGGTGCCTCTTCAGTAGAATCCGACGAATATACACTGAGGACACGCTTAAAGGAAGAAGAAGAAAGAAAGTTGTAACAAACTCTGGTTGATAAAAATTATCCAGACAAATTCATCAGCAGAGATATAAACTAGTAACAAAACCGAGACCCAATCTCAAACTAGCACATTTTAAATTTGCAATGGCTAATATGGAATTGTCATTGTGCATTTTTGTCTGTATGTGTGAATATGAGTATGCGTTTATTTTTCATACAGAAGAGACGTCAATTCATATGTGATAAACATGATAATAATTTTATAGAGGTCTGTTATTTTCTCACCTTTCCAGTTTCGTAAGAGTTTGCCACACAGATGATGAATATTTAAGTATTAGTTTTTGTAGGGATTTTCCTGAGTTTGATTGGTTGGCGGCTTACTTCATGAGCTGACATCAGTTAGAGAACAACTGGAAATCCTAGGAGTACTGAACAGCTGTTTCGTTCCAGTCCGGGAATCATCAGAAGTAGGCCCCCGCCAACAGGGTTAGAACCTACGAAATTCCAGTTACAAGGAAAGCTAGCTCATATACCATTCAGCCACTGGGATCCAATTCAATGGCCAGTGCATGAATTACAAACTTCTTCCAATTTGTGATTTCACCGGAACAACCAACCATTGTCATCAGTGGCAAATTCGTCAACACTCTCCACCGGATGGACCTCACTGGTCACGAATTCTCACTAGAACTGACCCCAGGAAACTTCGTCCTGTAGCAAGTCACTAGTGATTTTCAAAAGTTAGAATTCAATGGTCATTAGTATTATTTGATTACAGAAACCACAATGAAATATACAATTAAATGAGCATATTAATTAATCAATTAAATCGATAATTTTTGGAAATATTTATTTCCTGATACAAATTTAAAAACAAAAAAAACAAAAAGTGTGTTAATAAAGCAGGATTTTGATGAATTCATCAAATTTCGGTAGAATTCCTGCTCAGCTGGATACTCTAAATACACAGATACACATATAATGCCATTAGAATTATACTGGGAGATATTAAGCTGATAAACAAATAGATTATATTGAATGAATCATGCAAAACGACGCATGTGGAAGTTTTTCAGGTCATGTTCAAATAGGAAGAGGGGGGCAGAGGGAGTATAAGAGATTAGGAATTAATATAAAATGCATAACGGCTCATATTAATATATGTGTAAAACTTGGGCACTGTGGTAGTAAGTAATTCCATATTAGTTTGTTTATTAGGTATATCATAGTGAAACAGTATTATTTACTGGATGACGTTTCGAACAAAATTTATTGTTCATAATCATATCAACTGTGATCACACGACTTTGACACTTGAGTTTTATAGTTTTCTTTGTTCTCTCCTATTTGTCGTATGGGTAGTAGAATTTTCCAGATATCTGGGACAGGTGATGAATCATTCCTATTACATGTATTTGCAGTTGATTCGATAAAGAAAGCTTCTGTTATCAATCTCTCCCTCCACCCTGTGACATTAGATTTTAAAACTGTCATCCTATCCCATCCTAGTGTATGGTTGTGTGTGACTGCATGTAGTGCTATAGCTGAACTGTTCTCTAGATTTTTATCTTATTCGGGTCAACCAATCTAGATTTTGTTAAGTTTTTATGTTCAGCTAGTTTGACTGCCTCTGTTCTACTAGTCTGACCTATGTATTTGACCTGACAATCATTGCAGGGTATTAGATAAACTAAATTGTTTTGTTTTAAAGGCTGTACAGGATCCTTTAACCGACAAAGCTTGTTTCTAATTCAGTTTGTGGGTTTGAATGTTGTTTTCATTCCTGCCTTGTTGAGAATTCTGCGTAAGGCTTCCGAGGTTCCTTCCTTGTATAGAATTACTACTGATGATTTAGATTCTTTATTGTTGGTGTCGTCATTAATATTATTATTATCACTATTATTATTATCATTATTATTGTTATTATCGCTATCGCTACTATCATTATTTATTTTATTTTTATATTTCCTTATATATTTCCTGACCAATTTATAACGGCTCAATTACATCACTTAGATAAACAATTAGTCATTAAAGAAAGAACTTAAATCTATCAAGAATTGCAAAATGATTAGTATTAGTAGTACTGATAATAATAATAATAACAGTAATAATAATAGCAGTAATCATAACGCTGAAACAACTTAAGATAATGCTACTGATAAAAGATAGAGTTCGGACCTGTGGTATTCCAGTTACAAGGCAAACTAGCTCATGTACCATTCAGCCACTAGGACCCGAATCAATGACCAACGAATTCTAACTTTTGAAAATCATTCTGATGCTCACTAGTGACTTGCTACAGGACGGAGTTTCCTAGGGTCAGTTCTAGTGAGAATTCGTGACAAGTGAGGTCCATCCGGTGGGGAGTGAGAATGGATTTCTCACTGATGACAATGGTTGGTTGTTCCGGTGAAATCACAAATTGGAAGAAGTTTGTAATTCATGCACTGGCCATTGAATTGGATCCCAGTGGCTGAATGGTATATGAGCTAGCTTTCCTTGTATCCGGAATGTAGTAGGTTCTAACCCTGTTGGCGGGGGCCTACTGCTGATGATTTCCAAGTCTGTTTACTCTTGAAGAAACTGTGGCTCACACAGAGAAACATTCAGAAGCATCCTGGTTTTATTTTATGTTAAAATTTTAAAAAAATTTTGTTGTTTTATACCCGTTTTTATATTTGTTTTACGTGGCTTTTTTTTTTTCTCGTTTGCTTTCTGCAAATTTCTTTGCTATTTTTCATCGAAAATTAGTTCGTCGATTTCTTTACACGCCTTTAACAAAGGATAATGTTATAAATTTAGCGGTTGGTTCAAATCAACAAATTTATATTCAAATTTCAGGGATGAATGCATATAAAATTGATGCAGAATTATTGGATAATGATCTTTTTTCTTTAAAGGTGCTATATTCAGAGCAGATTCGTGTTCAACCGCCTAAAAATTATATAGTCTATCCTAAGGCTGGTTGGAAACATATTGTTGCTGGTACTAACATATATATTTACATTGAACGTAAGTTCTACTTATTGTATTCTTTCTTGATTTCAGTTCTCATGATTAAATGTTTTCTTTCTTATTTTTTTAATAATGTCATAATTAGCATGTAACGACTCATCATATTACTACTAGCCAATTGCACCTAGTGAAGTAGGTTGAGATGATTTTAACTCAGGACAGAGTGAATGAAGAATAACTTTTCAAGACATTGAACTATGTTTCTACACTTGTAACGACAGAAGGCAAGAGTCAGGCAACAGATCATTTATTAAGGAAATCAACGCATATTTATATATGTTTTCATGTACATTACTATGGTTATGTAAACAAACAAACAAACACAGTCTTCCGATTGGTTGAAATCTAGAACGAGGATATTTTGAAGTTATTTTTGTCAACCCTCTCATATCTAATGAATGTATATTTGCAATATAGTACTATATATAGTTTATTCAATCGGTATTAAACAAACATCTATAAAGTAAATTATATAAGTAAACGATATTATATGATATATTCGGTTGGCCACTAGTTACTGACTAAGATCCAATCAAATATATCCAGTACACTTCTACAAGAGGTCAGTCATGAGCCTGAACAGCTCAGTGGCAACGTCTGTGACTACAGCACTGGATGACGCCGGGTAGAATCTCACAAGGGACATGAGTTCCTTCAAGGCAGTTGCAGATACCCCTTGCTGACTGACTGATGAATGCCAACTAGCACGAAACCTAGGTCAGGTAAGGCTTCCTGTGGCCGATTACCCCCAACTATCTAATACCAAGTTTGTAATTATTCATTGATTTAAATTTTATGTGCATTTGAATTTCATTTACAAAGAAATCTATACTGGTACTCTAAACAATATTGATTCTTCGGATGTTTGGACAAAAATTGGTTCGAAAGATACATTTAAATGTGGATTATTAAGTCATACAAATCACAATCCTTTAGCTTATTGGGCATCAAAACAAATCAGTGGGCCAAAAGGTGTCATATATATTGATCATTATCCTACTGGAAATATAATTGAACCATCTAGATGTCATTCAATGTATAAAATACCTGCTAAAATTCGTATTCAGTGCAGTCTAATGGCATCTGAGAAAAAAATTGTATATAGATTTGAAAAGACATTGACAGTTATCGGTAAGTATTTCTTTGACCAGAAGTGTTCCAACTTTATTTCTTAGGTCAGTTCATGTAATATATATGGTGAACATTATTGAAATTAAGTGCAAAATGTTAGAAGCTTAGTCTCGTAGCTGATATCTAGTATAGCAATGGGTTCAAATCCTGCCGTAGCACAGAGAATTGATTTCGCCTTTAGTTATAGCATACTATATCTTTAACTGTCTGTTTAATTGAAAGTTATTATTATTATTATAATTCCCTTGGGGTTCTGTATGAAGCGAAAGACAGCTACATTTCATTTTATTATTCTTCTCAGGCGATCTCAGATACCTTCATATTGGTCAGGAAGCTTTCCTGTCCTTTTCACACGATCTCCTCCATTTGACCGTCCAATGTCCACTAGTCTACGAGTTAGCCTTGTAACCTGAAGTGTCCTGGATTCGATTCCTGGTAGTGTATACTCGCTGCCGATGAGACTCAAACTAGGCTGATGAAATAGCTAACCAGATTTGCCTATATCAGATGGTTGGAAACAATCGATAAGAAGGCTCTAAAACTAGATTCCATGCCTACAGGTACTCATAAATAAGGCGTATCGGCTAACTTGTAAATGAAGTGATGGCCACTAGAAGATTTTAAACTGCATTACCCATAGCTGTAAGCTGTAGCGTTCTTTTTTTAATTCCTTCACGTTCCCAATGGAACATAGGGCTTCAAGCTAGAGGCCTGAAGTTTCTGTAGCAGTGGTGATTATTTTTACAGGGTGGGGTTGCTAGCCTCATGCCCAACCTTTCCTCTTTACTAGGATTTTATTACTGGCATACCGAGGTAAAGGAGTGCGTCTGTGGCCGGGGATTGAACCCCAGACCATGTGCATGGTCGGCGAGCGTCCTAACCGCTGTGCTATCGACGCACAAGCTGTAGCGTTAGCATTCATTTATTTATGACCACGTCGTAAGAATGTTATAACTTGAGATGAGTAATACTCAATGATGAGTTTTAAAAAGAACCAAAATACTTATTCTTGATTACACTTTCTACATGTAGCTCAAAATATGTAAAAATTGGAGTTATTTTAATTAATTACTATTCATTTATCATGACAAATTTATCTATGAATTAAGTACAAATTAAAGGGCTCAACAATCCGCTCCGTCCTCCTTTATGGCTGTGAGACCTGCCATCGAGAGCAGAAGACATGAAAAGATTAGCTGTCTTCGATCATAGGTGTCTGCGTTCTATCTCCCGCGTGAAGTGGTATAATAAGGTGAGCAATATTGAGGCCAGGCGTCGAATGCTAGGTAAGGCGGGGAAATCAGTCGACGAGACTGTGAAATTACATCGACTGAGATGGTTAGGACATGTGTTACGTATGCCTAGTCATCGCCTTCCTCGACAATGGGCAATGTTAGCTGATATAGGGTCAGGCTGGAAAAGAGCCAGCGGCGGTCAAACCAAAACATGGTACCAGTCAATGAAATCCACAACAGTTAGTTTAAGCCACGTAGGAAGATGTAGACTTCCTGGTTGGGGTCCTCGGGACGGTAAAAACCAATGGTTGGAAACAATTGGTGACATGGCTCAAAATCGTTCTCAGTGGATGGTGCAGATGCATCCACTCCTTGTGACTTATGATTTCCAATGAAACTGTTTTGTTCTTCGTTATTACTATTCCTTTGTCTCACACCTCTGTTTACTGTCTCTATTATGCATTTCTTCTACTTTCTTCTCTTGCTTTGTGTGCTACAAGGAGTGGAGTGTGGCGACTTGAACTGCCGCACATATGTGCAAAGTTCTATGTCGAAAACCGACCGACCGACTGACAAATTAAATTTAATATCACAGACACCTGCAAACATCCAATACAAATATTATTCATTCCACGCTGTCACAATCATTATATATATATATGTATATATGTATATATATAGAAGTAATAAATAAGTAGTACAAAGTTATATCGAAGTTGAATAAAAGTTGATTATATTAGATGCTTGGTGTCAATCTGAAGGAAGCTAGTTGGCGTTCAGCAGTCAGGAGGGCAGGCGTACCTCAAACCAAATTGAGCGAACTCAAATCCATTCTCAGATTTCATCCTGCACCACTCAACGATGCATTCATTCTGTTACATTCAATATCACTGAGGTATTTGAACCAACGATTGACCCCCTGTAGAAGTAATGTATTGGATACTTCAGAGCTGCAATCATATCCAAATACCTACCTAGTGTTTCCATGATTTCGGCTTGTTTCATTGATACTTATTCATCTTGAAGCATGATTTCCTACATGTGCTTTCAGTGGTCTGATGGTACACTGCTTTCCAACCATGCTAGAGGACCGGAGATTGATTCCCTGCTGAAGTACTTGTAGACGATGCCAAGTCAATAGTGACACCTGAAATGTAAGAAAGTGGGACGTGAGATGTCAACTCCACTCAGTGAAATAAATAACACCACGACTACTAAAACTCCAAGAAGGTTTCTAAGTCCTGAGTTTCATTAGAAGTGCAAAAGAACGCAGTCAACATGTCACTATTTTGATAAAGTAAATTAGGCATATCCAGGGACAAATATCCCGGATTCTCCTCTTAAATCTAATTTTATTTAAGAAAAATTGAGAAGTTGTCATGAGTACAAAGTGAGAACTGACTGATAATTTTGAAAGCTTCACAGGAAAATTTCCATACCTAGACAATGAAGTTCAATAAGAAACAAGGAATTCTGAAGCCACTAGATCTAATCCTTCCACCAGCCAGACATTTATTCCACTATCCATCCTCATGCACCATCTTACTGATTGTAAGCTAACTCAAGAATATGTCAGATAGCCTTACCATCTGATGAAAAAGAAGCATTCAGCTTCTATTACTAAATGAAGCACTAATAATTGTGAAGCATACTTTCAATTTAATTTAGTAGAGTAGCTCATACAGATCTTGAAATAGTTTATCGGTAAGTCAACACTAATCATTCCATCCATTCTCTATGAAACTTACGGCTGTAGCAGCACGCCTCCATTGCATTGAGTTCAAAATCATCAATTTCATCTGACTCTACTACTAATAACAGGCTTTCATCTCTTCATCTCATATAGTCTACTCCATGTCACACTGGAACTCTCAAACACTTGATTTCCATTCAGTTTTTATTCAACTGCCTGCCTAACATGCAATGATATCACTCTAATGGCATATTCTTATTCATCTCAGTTTCATTCTCTATCTTTGTTGGACAGCAGGGTATTGGCTGATTCGCTGCCTCCTACAGTTTCCAATAGCTCGTTTAATTTTTTTAAACCGACTATCTTATCTGCAGTATCAGGAGAATATGGAAGGTGTAAACAAAGGTCTGTAGGAGATTGTTGAAAATGCTGTCGATGGTGTACTCGCAACGGTTTACAGTCAGCTTCAACTGGATTCTTTTTTATTCTTCTCTGACATACTGTCAGCTGAATTAGAGCAGGCCTGTGTTAAAAAAAACACCAGAATATTATATCAGATTAGCACGTCTTTCTATCTCTATGTGAAAAGAAGTCAAGGCAGATCAAAGCAATAGGAGATGGTTAAAGGGATCTAATTACTAAAGAAGACAGATAAAATAAACAGAGGGATGGTCACTTCAAAGGACTCGTGAGTCGACTATCGCATTCGACTCTCCCAGAAATGCCGTCACCACCACCACCAACAACAGCAAGAACACAACTGCCGAGAAACGCCAAGCCTCCAACAGAAGCAGAACTCTTGAGTGATACAAGGCTACTGAAGTTAGGGAAAACACCAGGACGAGACAGAATTCTTCATGAAACACTGAAAAACAGCCCGGAGACCACTGTAGTTATGATGGTACCACTAATACAAAATGTCCGGAAGGAACAAAGGAAGGAAATGTACCTCAAGGATTGGAAGGAAGGCTGTCTGCCTTGTCAAATTAACAAAGAAGACAGACTATGGCCTCTGCGGAAACTCATACGGAATCATGCTCTCTTCCACACCAACTAAACTACTAAGCCACGTCATCCTGGAGAGGCTTAACGATGCTCTGAATGCGCAAATCCTCTCCGTGGAAAGAGGTGGATTCAGGGGGAGTAACTCGTGTGTGGATTGAATCGCAACTCTACGCATCGAAGAGAGTATAGAATTGCGACTAAACCTGGCTCTACCTTAGTTTCTTCAACTTTCAAGAGACCTTCAACAGTGTTGATCGCCAATAATTTGGAGACTACTTCAATACCTTGACAACCTCATTAAACAGCTATATGACGACGCCACTTATCATAACAGAAGACTCAGTGAAGCCTGTCTTTGAAGTGATTGCAAGATTAAAACATAACTGGATTATGTATAGTCATGTGGCGAGTGAGAAGAAAGGAATACGTTTGGAGGATAACAAGACTACAACAGATCTGCATTCTGCGGACGACTTATGTCTCATGTCACACAAACTTGAAGGCCTGCAGGTGACAACCAACAGACTACCAGAGGAGGCAGGCAGCGAACACAGGACTCCAAGTGATGAACGTAGGTAAAATGAAGATGATTAAAATAACCAGCCACCACGAACACCAATGTGAACAAAACCAACAAGAACCATCGATTGTTGACGGAATAAATTTCACAGAGATCACTTCCTTCACTTATCTGATTTGTCAGCATCGCATTGACTACGGATGGCACCGATGAATTTGTCAAAATCAGATTCGAAAGGCCAGACATATCTCCATCACTCTAAAATCAATGTGGAAATCTTGCACACTCCATCTCAACATTAGCAACGAAACCAGGAATTTCAACACCATCGTCAAACCGGTTGATTCTTCCATGTGGTCGAAAACTTGACAGTCGCGTCATGAGAACCACTTCCAACAGACCATTATGGACGTTTATTGTCAGCTACCGGCTGATTGACTGACTGACTGACTGTTTGGCTGGCTGGCTGGCTGGCTGGCTGGCTGGCTGGCTGGCTGGCTGGCTGGCTGGCTGGCTGGCTGGCTGGCTGGCTGGCTGGCTGGCTGGC